AAAAAAATCCTTAGTTAATTAATTTTCATTATAGACAGCTTTATAAAAGTATAAAAGCTCTCATAAAGTATTTTTCTGAGGTCTGTCTTATCAGGTAAATTACTGTACACTGTGTATTCATTAATTTTCATTTTCATGTAGTAATGGCTCTATGCCTTCATAAAGTACGTACTTTTCCTTTGTTTAAGGGTATTTGGGCAGTTTATTCTCTGTTGTATTCTCAAGCAAACAATACATACAAGTACAGTACTGTATTTTCTGAGGACTTCACACTTTTACTTATTCTTTTTTAACTCCATTTCTGATAACCCCGCATTTTCACAAACTCGGCCACCCTTCAGTTCACATTAGACTGAGTTTTCGGGACTCTACTGTAATTAAAAAAGTGTGAATAGACAGCACTGATAACAGTTTGCTGTTTATAGCTGCAAACTTTGTGATATTAAACAGAATATTTAGATCCACCACACATACAGATACCTTGACATTAACCAATTTATGCTAATAGACATTAACCAGAGAAAGTCTATTATTTACTTATGAGGGTTGGTCAGGGATAAAAATTTCTGTGACAGTAATGCATATGACATTAAATGGGTTCAACTGTAACTATTTTAATCAATTTCATATTCAGTAAAGATATAACAATAAGTCTAGAATTCATTAAACAAAAAACAAGAACCAATATATCAATATACATGGTGTGGCTAGAAAATAATGAGACTAATTTTCTGCATGCAATGGTCATACATGGGCCGAAGTGAGTGGATGAGTAAACAACTTTGAACAAGTTAGTACAAGCACAGCAAGTTTCAACTTACTACCACTATTAGATTTACTGTGGGTGCCTGCTGCGAATGGACGTGTTGTTAGCACACGTTAGAAAATTGGCCAGCTTGAAAGAGCAGCAAGCAGTGTATCAACCCTGAAATTTTTGGTGAAATTGAAAAAACTGCCACTGAATCTTTGCACCTGCTATGTGAAGTATACAGAGATGCATGTTTTTGTCATGCACATGAGTTCAAATGGCACAGAAGATTTTCTGAGAGCCGAGAGGATGTGAAAGACGATGAATGTTCTGGAAGGCCCAGCACGTCAAAAACCAAGGTATGAGAAGTGGAACAAATTGTGAACCAATACTACTACAAAGAAGTTTTGAAATCTTGCGGGAAAGGGTCAGACGAAAGTGGCAACCCTTGTGGCAAAATGGTTTATCCTCCATCAGGACAATGCACTAGCCCATTTTGCTCTGTCAGTGGAGCAGTTTTTGGCCAAAAAAAGCAGTCACATTACTTGAATACCTACCATACTCGCCTGACCTAGCTCCGTGTGACTTTTACCTTTTCCCTAAAGTCAAGTCTACTCTGAGGGAACACCATTTTGATTCAATTTCTGATGTCAAAAAAAAAAAAAAAAAAGATGGCACTTCTCTGCTGTCATGGTGATAAACATGTAAGGGACATGACTGGTTGATTTGCCAAGGAGAGTTTGTTGAAAAACACATCTGTTAGATTTTGAATTTGTAGTGCATGCATCTCGAAGGAGAGATGGTTGGCGAAGAATCATGCCATGTGGCTGACCTGGGATAGAGCTATGACTGGCATAGCTGCTGATTGGTCAATCAACAACTGTTGACGACTATTTAAGGTTGACATGAAAGCAGCAAATTCAAGTTTTAAGTTGGCATCAAAGTTTGGAACTTCAAGTTTGGATCAAAGGTTGGATTCGTTTCACTAGCCAAAGAAAGCCACAACTAGACAACTATTTGGTGGTCATCATAAGGTGTCTTTTTGAAGGGCAAGTACAGGAAACAAGAACTATTGACAGTTGTGATATTGGCACACCAATTGTGAAATGGTTGAAGTTCTGAACTTTACTTCTGCCTTATAGATAATGACCTGCAGCACTGTTATGATAAGTGGAAGTTGAGAATGCAGCACTGCGTGAAAGTAGAAAGATCACACATTGAAGGGAAACACAACTAAAGTGAGTATACTGCTCAAGATTTAAAGTTTCAACTTCAGTCTCGTTATTTTCTTGCCACTCCTCATATATAATATAAAAACATGTGTACAGGCATACCTCGACTTACGTCGTTTCGAGTTACGTCGTTCCCGATTATATGTCGTTTGTCAAAAAAGTATATGGAAAAATAAAAATCAAGTTTAAGTCATTTTATTCGACTTTACGTCTGTCCGCCACAAATATTGAAGTCGTAATATCACTAGAAAAACGTTTAAAGCACATAAAATCATATTAAAATATATACTAGTATGTTCTGTATTTACAGTACATGCATTCGTAAATTTAGAATACTTTTTTCTGTACTATATTAAAAACTAAAATTTATTTGTTTGTAAGCTTAAAATAGATTTTTATTAACCATATATTATTAAAAATGCATTAATAAATAAAATACAAAACCAGGAATGGTAATTTATGGTTTAGCCTAGTGACAAGTAGATTCGAAGACAAGTAAATTCGACTTACATCGTTCTCCTGGAACCAATTAATGACGTAAGGCGAGGTATACCAGTATTATGTAAAAATGATTTGATTGTGTTTAGAATTTTGTATTTTTGTACATATTTTACATTTTGTTAATTGTCTGTGTAAAGCTAAATTATTCAAATTGAACTTCTCATCTCATTAAATTTTATTATACAAAATTCTAAAATTTCAGTAAGATTCTGATGAAAGTTTAATTAATAGTTTCTGTTTAATTGTTATATTTTTCTTAATGTTCAAAATTAACATTACATTTTTATTTGAATCATAAATTAAGTATGCTAGCACAGACTTCCTCCATCATCAGCATTCAAATTTTTAAAGCTTTTGAATAATCTAAATGTTTTCACAATATGAAAAAGTATAATTTTTGGGGATTTTCTGATATTGAATCATAGCTTAAGTTATAATTTTTCAAGAAAATAAAACAAAACATTCTATTTATATAAGTATTAGATTTATATAAAACAAGATAATCTACACAATTTATATTGTGTAGATTCGGCTTCCCAAACTAGTTGCTAGCTAATCTGTATCAAACGAATTATCTGGAAGTTAATAAATTATTAAGCATTGTTTGGGGATCAGTGGACGAATATTTTAATATGTATTTAAAAATACAATAAAAATAATAATAATAATTTATATAACTTTTAGTTTTAGTAAAGGAAAAAAAATTTTGAATTTTGACTTATGTTTAATGGGAAAAAGCTATTAATTTCTGATTCAAGAGAAAAATTCACATAAAAAGACATTAAAGGACATTTTAAGAAATGTTTTAATATCCTGTGAGCACTTTCAATGTATTTATAAACGTTGTCTTTAGGCAGAACTGGAATCAAATAGGTTTTCAAACAAATTTTTAAATTGGAACAAAAACAGCATTAGCCACTTAGAACATAACAAGTTTAAAGATAAAGAATTAGATTTAAAACACGCGTAACAGTGTCGCACATGCACCTTACTGCACAGAGAACAAGAATGGCGTTAGCCATTTAGAACATAACACAAAACTTAGAGTATTAATTTAAATTTCTGTAACATCATCGTGCATGCACCTTACAGCGCAGGAAATAGGAATGGCAATTAGCCATTTTTATCAAAAGGTTTAAAAATAATAAAATATCGTTGTGCATGCACCTTACTGTGCAGAGAAAGTAGGGGTTTAGAAATGGAGCTAATACAGGTGTTTTAGTTGTTTGTATAGATTGACCCAAATCCCAGGCAACTCAAGGGTGGGAGAGTTGCAAGGAGGCAGCAGAGTGGTGAAGAGGGCTTCCCAAATGTACACCAAATTCCATTTCTCACAGCACCTGAGCTTCACCACACAGTCCCAAAGTGGGATGTAGTGTTGCTGCACAACCATCTTAGATAGTTTGGTGTCACAGCTGCGACAGAACGTTGGTGCTCTGTTATGTGACTGGATAGCATCCTGGTGATCACCCCTATATAGTGGGTGTGTGTCCCAGACATTGGGTTTTCCAACGGAATAGAATAAACGCCCGACTTTTTTAGGATTGAAACTGCATCCCTGTTGTTACATAAAAGCCTCCTCAAACTAGGGCGTGGAGTGATGGTTAAAAGTAAGGCATTTTACCTAAAAATACGGCAAATCCGGGCTGTGAGGCGGCCACAAAACGGCAGAAAGTGGCGGACTACTGACCAGTAAGGTAGTAGCTGGGAAAAGGGATCTTTTGGGAGGCTCTCTTCACCACTCTGTTGTCTCTTTGCAACTCTCCCACCCTTGAGTTGCCCAGGATTTGGGTCAATCTATACAAACAACTAAAACACCTGTATTAGATCTGTTTCTAAACCCCTACTTTCTCTGCAAAGTAAGGTTTATGCACAACGATATTTTATTATTTTTAAACCTTTTGTTAAAAACAGCTAATTGCCATTCCTATTTCCTGTGCTGTAAGATGCATGCACGATGATGTTACACAAATTTAAATTAATACTCTAAGTTTTGTGTTATGTTCTAAATGGCTAATGCCATTCTTGTTCTCTGTGCAGTAAGATGCATGCGTGACACTGTTACGCGTGTTTTAAATCTAATTCTTTATCTTTAAACTTGTTATGTTCTAAGTGGCTAATGCTGTTTTTGTTCCAATTTAAAAATTTGTTTGAAAACCTATTTGATTCCAGTTCTGCCTGAAGACGACATTTATAAATATGTCGAAAGCACTTGAAGGATGTTAAAATGTTCTTTAATGCCTTTTTATGTGAATTTTTCTCTTGAATCAGTAAAATTGTTGGCATGACATTCACTTTAGGTATTTAAATTACCTATTAATTCCAATTTCATTTTTTATTTCATCCTATTTGCAGTTTAGTGTTATTTTGTATCAGTGTAGAAAGGAATCAGAGAATTAAATCTAATGTTCAGAAGGCATCAACAATCAATAAAGGTTGGCAAACCCCTAGTATAGATAAGCAGTTCCCAACTGGTGGTCCATGAATCACTTATGGTCCACAAATAGATTTTGGTGGTCCGTGGAAAAATTTGGACTTTGATCAACTCGAGGTTATGCAAAGTGTTACAAAAGAAATGCAAAATGCTTGGTTGTTTCTTCTCACTCATTGGGGACTTTTTGTTTGAATCTAAAACCAAACACAAAATGATTATTATTAATAAATAATGTTGTGAGTGCAATTGATCATCCTTCATGGAAAAGAGCCAAGAATTTATAAACTTATTTCAAACAAGCAGGAACAAACTGCACACTAATTTGTTATAATTAAACAAGTGAATTTCATATTAATAAAGTAAAATGGAACTTTTATGATTATTATTCTATAGATGTTTGTATCGTTTAAAGAAATTCATGATACATGTCTGCAGGATTCAAAATTGTGAGTTTAGTGGTCCTTGAGGTTAGAAAGATTGGCAACTGCTGGTATAGATTATCATGATAATTTATTGTGATATATAAGATATTTATAATAGGCATTGTATATATATTTCAAAATCTCTATTCAGATCTCAAAATACTTATATGTTGTCAAATCTTATGAGTTTCATATGAAATTCACAATAATGTGACATGCTTTACATACATAAATTGCAAAATGTGAATAAATGGCATCATTTGTATAATTAGTAAAATATTCCATCTGCAAATCTCAAATATGTGAAGAATTATAACTATTAATCAATGTCTGTTATTGTTATCATTATGAAAATTTTTTAAATACAGGTAGGCCTCCTACAACGCGGTAGATAGTTCCTTGAAAATATCGCGTTGTGGGAAATCGCATTTATAGGAGACACCAACTTAATACAAAAACTGGGATTTTGCCAATGTTTTTCTCTTTTTAGAACTTCTAAAGAGAAAAGAGAAAAACATGGCATTTGAATGGCGTTTTTTGAATTTTTCAAACCAGCCATTGCTAGCCACGAATTTAACACTGATTTCATCAGCCGACAACTGTCCCATTTGTTTTAAATAATCAAATATTTTTAAGGCTTTGTATTTAACTGCACTTTTATTTAAAGTCAACCGTTTCTTGTTCATATCTTCTACCTATAATATTAGTGCTTGTTCCATTTTTTTTTTTCATTATAGGTGCTCTTGGACGAGCAACATTTTTCGCAAGAATAGATGATCCGAATTCGACTGAATTCCTAATCTTTTTTTCCTATTGCTTAATTGCTACTTTATTGCTATTATTAACAATTAAATACTGAGTAATTTGGTACTAGAAATACCGAATTACTCAGTATTTAATTATTAATAGTAGTGGTAAAGTAGCCAGATTTAGATACGTCATTCATTTCAAATTACAATAATATTTAATATGAATTTGAATAATAAGCTTAATAAGTAATTCTAATGGCTATTAATACTCTCTGTGGGAGATCTCAATTAAGAAAGGAGGATATGATGAGCAGAGGATTTGATGAAACAGAAAAAAGAAATTTTTATCCAGAAGAGCCTTTTGATATTTTCATGATCAAGGAAATAAGATCTCTATAAATACATTTTAATCTAAATATTTGCAGTTATCATTAATATAAAAAATTTAATATTTACATGCAGTATGAATAATTAATAAATTGATAGCATTCTTCACAGAAAATTATAAATGAATATTAATATAAAATTTTAATTTTTTATAGGTAATCCAATTAAAGAAAAAGCTCTTGAAGAAATTAAACATGTATTTACTCCAGAATTAGCATATGTTTCTTATATTCATTTCTGTAAACTTGCTGGAGGGTAAGTATCATATTAATTGCTTTGTTTTGCTTTAATTATTTTGTATTAGTCTATTTTTAATAAATCAAGAATTTTTACAAAATTACAAAATAATTTTTTTTTTTCATAATTGAAGTTTAGACTATTTACAAAAATATCAAATTTTTGTAAAAGGATTAAGATAGACTAAAAAATTTGATATTTTTGTAAATATTTTAAACTTCAATTATGAAGAAATATATCCTGAGTAATTACAGAAATTGTACAAAATAATGTTTTAAATAAAATAATAATTAATTTTTATTATTGCTTATCTTGAAACCGAGTCTTCTTTTATTTGTTTTTTCTGTCACAATTAGTTGCATAGACAGACAGAGTCACTTGTAATGATATCTCAAAAAGAAATTGTGATGTCCATGTTTCAACATGGACATCACAAGTGTGAGCTAAATGCAGTTCAGTGTAAAGCCAGAAAATTTTAACTGTACAAACATTTTTAACTGCAATGGTAAGTAATTTTTAAGCAAGATGTACATTAGTTAACACCTCTTTACAAGATATCTCAAAAAGAAATGCTGACAGAAGAGGGGCATATGCCTGAAACGCATCTTGGCCCACAAGATATTCCTGAATAAAGATTGTGGAGGTCGAGAGGAGGAGAAATTTTAAAAACGATGCAACTAATGATAATATGTGATATATATTATCATCGTCTCCCTTGCCATTTGGACTGCCGAGTGGTAACAATCAACGATATGTGGGAGCAGTTGCGTCAGAGATAGATGCCTTGTTTACAAACAACACAACCCATTTATTAGACACAAAACAAGCTTACAAGATTTCCGTGATCTTGGAAGTTCTACATCGGCGGCAGCCTCTGGGTCTTCCTCCCCTTTCCAAGATAGTCCCATTTTGAAGGAGTGTCCCTGATTACTAGTTCACATAGGAGTCCTGACATAGGACTTTTCAAAAAGAAAGGAGTTCCCATGGAAAGTCTTATGGAGTGTCCCTGGTTTGTGAATGACCACTTCCATTGACATCACAATGACTCCAGGATGATGTGGTCGACTTCTGTTGATGGAAATATGTCAATCCAAGGTTGGGAGATGGAGACGAAGATGAGTGTGAGACACATACACAACAGTAGATCTGCTACTTGGAACTTTCAGGAGAAGAACTGTTGTGTCCTTGAATTTCTAGGGTTTTATCCATTTTCCTCTGATTCCACTTTCCGATTGGTCTCTCCTTGTCACCTGATGACAATTTGAAATCTTTCAGGGGCACGGGAGAGATCAAAATCGAAGTTTAATTCGATTCCTCAATTGGAGATGGTTGATGGGCATTCTTCTATTGTTTAAAAGTTAGTGTTGCGTTTTCATAAAACAAAAATCTATTTCTAACTACTATAATTTTTCTTTAAAACAAAATTATTTTAACACAAATTTTAGTGACCTTTGTGAGGGTTCAGACCTGTCCAGAGCCTCACAAGATTGATGTCAAAAATGCCCAGTGTCTGTCTATGCACCTAGTTGTGACAGAAAAAACAATTAACTTTTAATCAAAACACTTACACAACCAAAAATCTAGCTTATGAAACAAAATGAAAAAGAAAAACAAATGTCTTCAAATGCTTTTAGCAACAATCTTCAAGTTAAAAAACTTATTTGGAAATGGATAGCAGAATAGAATGAATGATGGAATGTAATAAATTGAACATCTGGTTGGCAGTTGGAGGTCATGTGTTTGTATCAAGATGTAAATACAGAGATGTAAAAATAATATTAAATCTCCAAAAATGCCCTCCAAAGCTGGGGATAACATGTTGTGTCCTTGTATTTGATAGCCATGTTATTTCTACTGGCATTGTAAATTTCCAACATTTCCAAGTACAGTGGAACCTCGGTATACGACCTTAATCCGTTCCTGATGTTTGGACTTATACCGAATTGGACGTATACCAAACCAACCTTTCCCATAAGAAGTAATGTAAAAATGATTAATCCGTTCTCACGTAAAAAAAAATGGCTGGCTTTAAACACCTCGCGTTCCTGGCTAGTTCCTGCTTGATTTTTCATGAGATCAGCATGTATCTTTTTAGTTTTCTCGCAAATAATTGCTTCTGATAGGATGTCGCCAGCACACTGTTTTTCAGTTATCCAAGCAAAAGCAATTTCTCAACATGATCTAATGTCTTCAATCTCTGTTTAGAACTTGATTTAACCCCTTTCACAACGTTAGCAGATTTAATAATGTCTTTATTTTTCGCGATTGTCGATATCGTCGTTCTCGGAATACGGCATGCAACAGTTAAAATCTGGAACACGCATGCCACCTTCATATTTCTCAACAATCTCTTTTTTCAGTTCCATTGTGATTCTAGTCATTTTTTTATTTTTCTGTTGCCCTTTTGGAATTCATGATTAATAAAAATAAAATGTTACTTACAAATTAAAATCAGAAGAAATTTAACAAAGTTATAAACCGTGGCAGCGCGAACGTTTAGTCTGGTCTAATACACCGATAGTGCTACTTGTTCATAGATGGCGCGTATAATTGAATTAAGTTGTATACCAAACAAAAGTCGTATACCAAGCAAAATTTGTTTTGTCCAAACAGGACGTATTCCGAATTTGACGTATTCTAAAGCAGACGTATACTGAGGTACCACTGTATTTAAGTAGAGAATGCTCCCATGTGTGATGAGTCATGCCTTACCTGACATCCTCATCCAAGGTGCATGTGGCTAAAGCCATAGTAGCTTGTCTATTATTAATTGAAATAAGATGTTGTTGTAGATGCTGTTTTAATGGACATATTGTAGCCCCAATGTCGGCTGTCTCTGTTGTCCTGAAGCGGTATAGTTTCATGAGCTGGATTTTTGGTCGTGGTAGTGTTTTATATGCTAATCAGTATTTAGTGCATTTATAACTTTTAATCTATATCATTGTTGGATTTAAAGGTCATCCATTAATTATGTGTATAGTTTAAGGGGAAGAGGAAGTCATGAAGAGTGAGTGCATCATTGTACAGTACATGATGTAGGAGGGCATCAGGGCATTGTCTATGTGAACTTTGTTTAGTTGTATTATTGACATCAAATAATTTCAGGATTATGTCAGGCTATAGTAATGTTACTATTAATAATTAAATGTAATTTAACAACATGAGGCAGGGCTCAAATCCACAACTCCTGTTGCCATGAGGACACATTTTCAGTTATACTTCAGGCCAATTCTTTTCTTCCAGAATCTTCTAGATTAATTAACTATTAATTTAATTATAATTATTACATTTATCAAGAGATGACATCTAATACCTATCTTGAGGCCAAATTACTTAATATTTAATTATTAATAATAGATTAACCACTTAGCTTTAGAAAAATTTATCTTACATTAATTATTAATAATTAGCCAAACTGTAGTCTGAATAATCCAGAAATTATCAATAATATGATTATTATAGAATATTTGGACTCAGTTTATATATATCTACAATGATTTGTTAACAAATATGAAACAGAAAAAGTAATATTTTAATGCTTGAGATAGCAATTTCTAAAACTGCAGACTAGTAATTATCATGCATTCAACAGCCGCCCAGAGACACAGGTTATACACCAAAAATTATGGTACGTTCATATTTTGAAGCACCATTTTTTTGTTTTACCCTACCTCAGACAAAGTGTGAGAGTTCTATGCAATTCTGGGTTTTCAAGGTTTTACTGTGTTACAGTCTGGTATAGTTGGTTCATTAATACATTGTTTAATAATAAATACAAATTTAGTTAAACATAAGCACAATTGTTAAAGTATAAATAATAAACTTTCAAATAATTATGTAATTTAAATTAATAACAGCTTGTGAAACTGTGAATCTTTATGACAGTTTAATTTTATCATTAATTTCTATATTAGCATAGAAATCAACTGGTAATGGCTCATATAGCAACAAGATATAGTAAATTTGTCACTCTTACAGTTGACAATGTAAAATTGTGTTTTGTGTAGCATGGTCATCAAAATATTATATATAATATATAATATGAATTTGAATAATAAGCTTAATAAGTAATTCTAATGGCTATTAATACTCTCTGTGGGAGATCTCAATTAAGAAAGGAGGATATGATGAGCAGAGGANATATATATAATATTTTGATGACCATGCTACACAAAACACAATTTTACATTGTCATTACATTATATTACATTACATTACATTATATATATATCAATATGTTCAAATTTATATTTATTGTAAATATTTTCTATTAGCATAAATAGAAAATATGCAAATAACAATAATTCTATTTAAAATAAAAAAAAATTTAGCAATTAGTTGTATAACCTTCCTGGCAAAAAAGTTAAAACTGTGTGCGGTGTCATCTGTTATGAGATTTTATTTAAAAAATTTTTATATTAATTAGAGAAATATCCCCACTGGAAAGCAGCTGAATGCTTCCCATATTTAGACCAATGTCTTTGGGAGATATATTATTCTCTAAGAGTGGCCATTAACTCCTCTGCAATAGGTTTTGGCTAGTCTTGATCAACCACTGTGGAGATGATGAGGCTATGGGATTCTAATTGCCCTTCGCTGGGGCCATCCTCCTTGGCCGAGGTGGCATTTATCAACCTAATTGCCTTGACTGTTTCTGACCCCTCTTTACCACATCCGCATAAAGAGAGACAGGAGGCTGAGCTGCCAGTATTTTCTGCTTTTGTCTCAGTTTGAACACCACCCCAAGCAGTTGGTTTGCAGCTGCATGCGTGTGGATCGCAGCATTACAGGTCAGGGTCCACTCCTCCTTAACAGTAGTGTTCTTGTTAGCATGAATATTGGCAAGAATAGTATCCAACAGGAGTTAATTGTGAAAATGATCCTCCTCCACAAAGTCCATGTTTGCTGAGTCTGAATTGCTTGGATTTGTCCTGAGGCATTAGGAGTCTGACCTGAGTTGTTCCCACTACATTGATCCATAGTGAAGCAGAACAGTAAAAAAAAATCCATTTATACATATAGCAGTGGCATGGCATGACATTTGATGATAAGGAATCTGTGTTTCTGTAAGAAGCCAACTTACAGGAGCAATCAGTTAATTGCATGTCAGTGGTCCATTTCTATTCGTTTGTTCAATAAGCCAGTAAAAACCGTAGACTTCTCTAAATGTATTTTTAGTAGATTAACTGATGTACTTTAATAAATAAACAAGTTCAATATAATTATCTCTGTTATTAGATTCAATAGATTCCCTATGCCCTCTAAATGCCAATTCTTGCTTTGATAAAAAACATATAACATCTATTAATTTAGATACAGGTAACCCCCGTATAACACGGCACTTCTATAGCACAGATTCACTCTGACACAGTTCAAGAAATGGGTAAAACCCTCGTACAACATGAAATGTAATAAATTTCTACATACTTAAGTACTAATAGTTCACGAAAATTATTATTTTTGTGAATTATTAGTACTTAATTATGTAAATTTTTTTTTCTTGTCTCCATACACATGGTCCTTTGCGAAAATTATTTCAATTTTGCCATATCTCGACGCTTCTGCTTCTGTGTTGCCAGATGTTTTTCCCTTTGCGATATTGAAAATTTATTTTAAAAAAGTTTTGGCTCAAGACCATAAGTGCTCCATAAGTGCTCAGAACCATATAAGGAAATTTATAGAGATCTTTTAACTAGAAGCAAGCAATCTAAAATTACATACACTTTTTGCAAAAGGTAAAGCATGAATCTGAAAATAATGCAGAAAAATGCTCAGAGGATAACGATAACTTGCCAAAAATAAAACGCTCTCGGTTAATAGTGCTTTTAGTGATGACAAAGAAAATATTGTTTAATTTATATTAATATGTATCACTTAAGAAAATTTTAATAAAGATATTTAACTTAATTATGAAAATATAGTAGCATGTTTTTTAATTTTTGGAACCTAACCCTCCTTTTCGTACTAGTTCTTTGATTTGCATAACACGGATTCGCATAACACGGCAATTTTTTGGAACGTAACTACCGTGTTATACGGGGGTTACCTGTAATTTAACAGTTGTAATTAATTTGTATAGTATAAGCTTGTCCTAAAATCATAGAAGCATCTCAGCAGATAAATTGCACTGAATACTAAATACAGCACACAGGACAGTATAAAATACAGGAGAGAAGTAGATTACGGATGAATTTCTACAAAATATTCTTCTGGACTTCATGATGTAAAAAAGGTTTTATCATGGAAAAGAAAACATTACTTTTTCAATTTGAACAATGTTAAATCATTGAACTGTAGAAACTGCAACTTTCAATAATGGATATTTCTAGAAGACTAAATAGTTTTCATCAAGTTGCAAATCATATGAATTCCAGCGGAAAAAATGGAAAAGTCATATGGAAGATATCGTGCACCGATTTCTCATCAAAATAGAGTAATTTGCAGGGAAATTACCTATTATACTATGAGTCTGTAGCAAAATATATCTTTTCTAGTCACGTCTGAAAATCAACAGTGTACTCAGTTATCAAATCATGTAATTATTTATGAAAATAAGAAAATAAAACAAACTCTGTCTCTGAATAAGAGCTACATAGACAAGGGCTAACTATAACATGATGTGGACTGGTTAATGGCAACAAGTTATTGGAGTGACAAGAAGTAATTCAACGTATGGGTCTTTCTACTCTTTTTGCATGGGCCAGAAAGCTAGAGAAGCTGTTGGAACAATATTTAAAAAATAAATTAACTCACTGAACATGTCAGCAAGACGCCGAATGTGTAATGGCGTGGTAGGCATGTGGATGAGGTGGTATGACAAATTTAGGTTTTATCTTAGGTCGTATTAATACTGTAGAAATGCAGCACGTACTATATGGACACTAATGCCATATGCAGAAAAAATTGAAAGGAAGCTTTTCGAATATCTGAAGATAATGTAATATGAACCCACTCATAAAGTAAAATCAACTTGGGACTGGTTTGTTTGCAAATAATGCACATGTTATGAACTGATTCTTACCATTACCTAATGTTATTCCTATAGAAAGCATATTTCGTATTTTACGAAAAGTGTATATAAAAATGAAAAGCAATATACAATAGTGGAATTATTAAAAAAAAANAAAATAAAATATTCTTTACTTTTTAAATCTTAAAACAATCTACTTGAGTCAAATAGCTCCCAACCAGTGGCTAATGGATGGAATCATTGTACTCGGCACCCACTGTACTGGCTAGGGATTGGTTTAGTTATATTGTTTAAGTAAAATTCCGGCTCTTTCAGCAGGGTTTTATTTATGTCCCTAATTCCCTAATCGCTTAATTATTTAACTACTTCTTAAGTAGAAATAAGTTGAAACTGATTACTTTGTACTTGAATATTTGTAGTCTTGGGAAAGAAGTGGAAAGACAAATTTTTATGACAATGATACATAAATCATAAATTTAAGGAAAATAAATTCTAGAGCTTTTTTTGTACCTTGTGCATCTCATTCATTAAATTTAGTTGTAAATGATGCTGCCAGAGTAACAGTTAATTTTTTAACAATGCACAAGAATTGTACACGTTTTTTCCTGCATCACCTTATAGAAGGGACATACTAAATCGTAATATCACTAGTTTAACATTGAAATCTGTAATACAAGATGGGAGAGCAGAATAAAAGCAGAATAAATATATAAAATATTTTAATAGATTTTTTTAAAACTCCTGTCAACTATACAGAACTATCATAAAAACATACCAGTAAATTCCTATCGGTTGGTTAAGTTATAAATCTACTCGTGATCCACATAATGGGGCGAGGGTGGCCAAATATCTAGCAGGCAGGTGACTAACAGCCCAGAATCAGTCCTGAATAGAATCGTTAGAAGCGTTATACGATATTTTGGTGTGTAGCTTTCACCAGCTAAACTGCCTGAGATTGGTGCTCTGTAAAGCACATGCGCAAATGTGCAAATGCCTATAATCAGGCTGCTTTACACCATTCAAATATTTTTGCTGTGGAAGCTGTCCCGTATTCGACAATACAGCTCTTTGATTAAGAATATCCATATATTTGAATTTATGTTCGAATATACAATAGTGATCTTATCATTTTTTTCACATGTAGTATAGAAATTTGTAATAAGATACATAATGCAGTTATAATAAAATATAAATTTTAATTAATTCAAAGTACGCAAAAATATTGCGCAATTATTTTCAAATATGAAAATAATTGCGCAATATGTATTTATATTTTAGAAAATACAAGGGAAGCGGCAGCACTGACATACAGAAAAAAACCTCTGTAATTTTTTGCAATTCTCAACATTTCAATGTCCCAAAATGTAAAAATCTTGGAGGGATCTTTTTTTTTTTACTGATTATCATACAGTATCCTCTCTCTCTATTAAATGTAACAGTCAGGAAAGTAAAATCAAGAATGACAATTTGTTTCATCCATTTTTATAATTATAATGTATATTCTTCATTCAGTTTTATTTTGTGTATATTCAACATCTTAAATTTTCTATATATTTTTATTATAGCATACATATGGAACAAACATTAAAAAATGAAGAGTTGATAAGACATTTATGTGCAACACATGATAGTAATTTGGAGCGTATCTTTCATCCTCAGAAAGATTTTTGCTTAGAAGGATCAGATGTTTCAATGAAATCACATCAACGTGCACCATCATTAGGTAATAAAACGAAGGAATTTATAATTCAAATAATTATAAAGATTATGTTAATTATTTTATTATTTTTATACAGGTTATATTTTAATCTGTCTATATTACTTTCTATATATGTGAATTACCAATTTTAATGAAGATTTTGATTCAGGCATAAAGTTGGAAAACAGTGTCTACTAATACTTAAATTCTAAGGATGATATGAAATATTTAAAAGTTACTTAATTTTTAATAGAGAACCATGTTTAATTGTAATCAAAATACAAAAGGATTCCTTAATTTTATAACATTTGAATATTTTGTTATTTTTCTCATTATATTTTCAAATATTTAAAATATCTCATTATATTTTCAAATATTTAAAATCTTTTAGGGCAAGATGATACTATTGTTAGTGGAGAATTTGGCAAAAATGTTGCTGTAGTTGGTAATAGAATTGATATACATTCTTGTGAAGACAATTTACCAACTAACGAAAAAGGAATTATAAATGCCTCTCAGTTTGAAGGGAGCAAATTAACAGACATTCCCAAATATGATATTGATTTGTTAAGAAGGTATGTAAAGTTTTAAAATATAATTAAAGGTGATTTTTTTACTAAAAATTTTTTCCTAATGTTTAATTAATCAAATTTTTTTTAAATTCTAGAATTTTTTTTTTCTTAGTACTATGCATATTTGATGTGATCATAAGACATTTGATGAACAATTAATATTAAAATTTTCATTCTTTCTGAAATCAAAAATTTGTTACCAAGCAGTACAAATTTTTATTCAAGCTTTAAGTGTTTCTATTTATAACTATCTGTGTTCTTAAAAATAAATTATTTAAGTGCAATATTAATATCATATTTGAAGAAATTAGTTTTATGAACTATGTTTACATTTAAAAACTAGCAATAAAATTTTAGCATAAATTATTGTATAGATTTTTTTCTAATTACAGATGAAGCTGCATTTGTTTATTTAATTTTTACTACTATAACTAAAATACAGTATTAATTTAATGTTTGAATCTTTATTCAGTTTTTACATTAATTTGTTTCAATGTAGAAATTGAAAATGTAGTTAATAAAGGATTTTATTAGTAAATAAAATACAGATTCATTGAAATAGATTTAAGTTTTGTTTTAGTTGTTAAATTTAAAATGGAACTGGAATTTTTGTATTAGGATACTTTATTGTATTAGAAACCATAGCAAAAACCAAACATCTTTCTTTTTAGAAAGATGTTTGGTTTTATGTAATTACAAAAACAATATAAACTCTAGCTTATATTTAATTCATTTTTTTAGACGTATGGACAATAATCATAGACATCTGAAAGGTAATTGGCTACTTTATTGGGAACATGAAATAGGCCGAAGCGATAAAGATTATCATTTTAATTTTAAACAAATAAAATTACAATCTTTTATAGGTAAATAAATTTTAAATATTAAATTTTGCCTATTTATAAATAATGCCTAACTAATACATTTTTTGTATAGGTCATACAGGAAGTATTCGAACAATACATGTACTTGATAATGAAAACTCTTTCTTGACTGGTAGTAAAGATAAAACAGTAAAACTTTGGTCTCTTCGAAGTTGTGGTAATGGTTCTACTCAGACATCCTCTCAATGGACATATACACATCATAGGAAGTCTGTTTTTGCAGTTGCTTTTCTTGACTCTCTTCGATTAGTAGGATCCTGTGATAGTACTGTCCATGTATGAAAATATTGTTAATAATATCAGGCAAATTTATTTGGGTTTAATAAACTTCTTATTTGTAGGTTTGGGATCCATTTGTTGGATCTTGTATTCAACAATTAGATTCATCAAAAGGAAGTATTGTTACTGTTCTAACAGCAATGCCATCCCCAAGTTCATCTTTTATTGCAGCAACAACAAGTTCTACAATCAGGTATGATAAAAATAAATTTTGAAAATATTTTCCAGTATTTTTATCTATGATCTGAAAATAGTAATTTCTCCAAAAACTTTTAAAATTATCAAATTTGCAAATTATTTGCTATTATATCTTTATCAACAATGAATTTTGAGATCTTACAACTTCTAATTTTATCATAAATACAGACAAGAAAAATTTCAATTACAGGATTTATAACTAAATTCTGCTTCATTTAAAAAATGAATTTTCAAAGTTTTATAAAAAACGCAAAATAAAAAATTAAAATTTTATTTTTCTGCAATAAAAGTGATATATAACAGATTATGTGACTAATACAAATATTAATGCTGTTTATTTACAGAAGATGTAATTATAAATGATAAGATTTAAACATGATATAATATTTAATTACCAACTGAATTATATGTATTTATTATCACTATGTCACTGTGAATAAGTGTCACTTGAAGTCCAGAAATCACTACAAAATGCCATGATGCGAACGTCACTAACTTGAAAGTAGCCACTGAATAGGCAATATTTTTAAAAATTAAAATTTACTACAAATATAAATAGTTGCTATTGGTATGTAGTTAATACATATATGAATTTGCACATATAATACCTTAATGAAAATTCTGCTGTTTAGACTAGCATCATCACTAACTATAACACTTGTCACCTTTTCGGTCCACAATATGTCAAGTTTTTGTGCCTCTACTGTACTGTATAATCTGATTCATAATAACTTTGTGTACATGTATGAAATATTTTTTGCTTTGATTTAATGGTTTATGATGTTCAATGATGTCTTACAGCATTGAAAATTAAATATATTCAGTACCAAACATTTGATGGATTACATTGGACTATATTAATGCTACTAATTACAAATTAAATTTCAAGTAATTTGATCTAGAAGCAGATGTTAGATGCCATCTCTTGATAAATTTAATAATTAATTCTGGAAGTGAAGATCAGATGGAGATCAGGGTAGTGTAACTGGCAATGAGTCTGCAAGGCATGCAGGAGTTGCAAAGTTCAAGTTCCATTTTGGGCCAATTCTTCCAGAACCTTCTAAATTAATTATTAAAATATTAAATTATTAAATTTATCAAGAGATGTGCTTAACTCCTACCTCTAGGCCTAACTACTTGATGTTTAATTTGTAATAAGTAGCATTAAAGCATTAACAAAGCCTGATATAATCCAGTAGTCATATTTGGCATTAATCTAAGAATTGGGTTTATGGATGTTTATATTTGAATATATTCAAAATTATATATTTTAAAAATATGATATTTAAATGAAATAAAAAGAGTGAGAAAATAATGATTGAAGTCATAAACCAATAAATTTTCAATCAATAAATAAATCAATATATTAAAATATTTTCTTTTTAAAATATAGAGACACTTAGGATTTTGTATTGAAAATAGATTTAAACTTCATTAAAGTAAATTTTTTTCTATTGTTTAATCTTGTGGAATCATCTCTGTAGCATATTAAAAATAATTTGTACAAATTAATAAAGATTTAATTTATATAGAATCTATCCATTCTTGTCCAGCTCACACTATAATAACAAAACTTTCACCTTTATATATAATGATTAAAAAGAAAAAATACTTAGTAATAATTAAAATAAAAAAAGTGTGTAATAAGTTCTTTGTGAATGCCTAGTAATGACTTCTTTTACTTTTTTTTTATTCTAATGATAAATTGAATGTGAAAATATCAGCCATTTGCAATAATGAGTTTATATTTTATTTAATGACGTTTATTATTATTATTTTAACGTAAATTTAAAACTTCTACATTATTATAACTAATTTTACTTAATGTTAAAATACTTGTGTTAAATTTTTAAAATTTTAGATTTTTAGATGCTCGTACTTGTCGATATATGCATGAATACAAAGTCAGTACAGGCCCAGCTGGTTTAATACGCTGTGTTAGTGTAAGTCCAAATGGTTATTGGCTTGCAGTAGGTCATTCTTCAGGAATTATTTCAGTTCTCGATGTAAGGAGTGGACTGTTATTTGAGTCATGGATGGGACATGAAGGAGAAATTCTTAATGTTAGTTATATTTGTTAATTGTATTTAAATAATTTTAATATAAAATAAATAATTTAATGTGTGAATTGATATTTTTTTATAGTTAAAAGCCTTCAACAATACTTGTTTTGTGTCAACTTCCTTAGATCATAGTGTTTCTGTTTGGAATGCTGAAGAAGCAAAACTCAAATGTTATCTTAGAGGTAAATTATAAATGACATTATCTAAATTTGCTTCTTACATGATTACTTTCATATTTCATTTGTTTTATTTTTATTTCAATTTTGTTTAATTTGGTTTCTAATATTTCTAAATATTACACAAAAGTTTATTTACATTTTTAGAAACCAAATGAATTTTAGATCTCCATTTAGCAATGTTTCTGATAGTGGAGACCTAAAATGTGGAAAAAACTTAATAATATTAGTAAATATTGTTATTTCTAATAGCAAGCTGTAGAGTTATTTAATTAATAAAAACTAGTTTTCTTAGTAAGCACGACTAGACACCTATAATCAGGAAAAAAAACAAATATATTTTAAAGAAAACAAACATTTTCTTCTTTTTAAATGGACAATATTTTGTTTTAAACAACTAAAATGTTATGTTCTATTTTTATAAACAATTGTTCAATTTTACTTTTGTTTCATCTAGCCTGATGATGATTATTTAAAATGGAAGAAAATATTTTTTTGGGGGGATGGATATAGTTGTGTTTATTGGTGAATTATACCAGTTTACTGGCAGTGACTGTAATTTTCTTATAAATATAATTTATATAATTAATTTTACTAAGAAATATTTTAGCTAAACGTATTATAATTCTCTTTTATTTATTATTTTAAATTCATTTAAATTGAAAATCATCTATTGAATAAATTGAAAATCATATCTTAATATTAAGTAAAATAATTTGTACTTTTGACAATGATACAAGTATTATGAATAGTAGTATTATTAGATCTAACTAGATGTTCTGTTCATTGCATCCTGCAAGAACAGAACATTGCAAATTGTTAGTTTTGTAATATATTATTTTTCTTATAAAAATGCATCATAAATTTAATATGGGATAATTCAAAAAGGACTTTACAACTTTGAAAGTGTACAGAAATTTAATCAGAATACTTACAAAATCACTTCAGCTATTAATTTATAGAAAAACTCATCAAGTTTTACCTCAAGCATTGATATTGGTTTGATGAGAGAGCCATTGCTGATATAGAAAAACATCCAAAATTCAATTTCTTGTCGAACTTTGTCTAACCATGCTTAATACAGTAGAACCTTGAAAACTCGGCCTAATGTGGACCAAAGGGTGGCCGAGTTTGTGAAAATGCCGGGTTATCGGGAATGGGGTTAAAAAAAATAAGTACGAGTGTTTCCTCAGAAAATACTGTACTGTATTTGTATGTATTGTTTACTTGAGAATATAACAGAGAATAAACTGCCCAAATACCCTTAAACAAAGGAAAAGTACGTCCTTTATGAAGGCATAGAGCCTTTACTACATGAAAATGAAAATTAATGAATACACTGTGTACAGTAATTTACCTGATAAGACAGACCTCAGAAAAATACTTTATGAGAGCTTTTATACTTTTATAAAGCTGTCTATAATGAAAATTAATTAACTAAGGATTTTTTTGCCCTGCCAGGGTGTGGCCGAGTTATCCGGAGTGCCGGGTTATCGAGAGCCGAGTTTTCGAGGTTCTACTGTAGTAACTATGTTAAACAGGATGACCCCATGACATAATGGGACTCAGTCCAGGGTCTGGTCTGATTCCTGTTATGTCATGAGGTCATCCTGTTTTATGGAACAATATAAATATGAGTTTTTTATTTATATAAAAAAATATTAATATTTTTTGTTTGTTCTAACTAGGAGTGAGTAACTTTAAATAAACATATACTGTATTTATTTTAGATGGTTTTTACAGTTTATTTATTTATTTATTTATTTTATTACACTTATCATTTTGCACTGATGCAAAATAACGACACTTTACACTATATTATAACAGTATATTACACAAATAATAATAATAACAAAAAATTTATGAATAACTATTTATTTTTGCAGCAGTTCTATTTGTGGAATTATTTTATTGTTTTTCTTGTAAATTCTGCACTCTTCAGTTTTGCAAGAACAACATAGTCTGATTGTAGTTAGCCAATAATATGACATCTAATGTCATTAGTTACATGAGATATATTGAACCAAAATAATAGATTTAAAATTTTAATTTGATGGATTTAGATCATATGTTCATATTATTTATCCATTAATCCAATTTCCAATTACTTGATTAAAATATTGGCTATAAACATTATGTAAGTGTTGTGATCACTTTTGTAATTCCTTTATGATTTTGTAGTTTTTTTTATCTTTGTAACATTTTTATTACAACTAATAATAATTTTATTTATATATCTTTTTTGTAGGTTACTTTTGGAATGTTTTTCCTTTTTGTTCAACAATAAATTTGGTTAAACAAAAGAAAGAAATTTCAGATACTCCAAAAACCTTAATATAAGATCAATGAAGAATTTTAATTAAATATGTTAAATACAAATGTTTTTGATCTACACCTAAGATCTGCTTCAAGTCCATTTTTATTCTCCATTTTATATTGGAATATAAGTTAGACCGGAGAACAAAAACAGACCTAAAGTTGATCGGAGAACAAAAACAGACCTAAAGTTGATCTTGGGTGTAGATCAAAAACATTTGTCTTTAACATACAGTAGAACCTCCATTATCCGGATTTTCGATTATCCGGATTGTTCAAAATAAACAAAAATTTTACGAATTTGCTGATTTGCACTTGGCGAATTACGACACTGTTTATGTACGTGATAGAATGCATAACTTTTTTTGTTTCAACAACGTCTCACCCAGCACAGTGGTCATAAACTCTTAATATATTTTACGTAGTAATAAAAATATAACTTGACATACGTATTTATAAATAATTTATATTCAAATTACATCATTTCTATGACCAAGGGC